GTGGTGGTATAGGCCCCAGTTCGGTCTGGACTATCTCTTCATGTGTGAAGCACTGATACACGGAGAAAGAAATAACCTTTCCCGTGGCGCCTGGGTGGCTCAGTCGGTTGAGCATCCGACTTCAGCTCAGGTCATGATCTCACGGTTCGTGAGTTCGAGCCCCGCGTCGGGCTCTGTGCTGACAGCTCGGAGCCTGGAGCCTACTTCGGATTCTGTGTCCCAACCCGCCCCCCCTCCCCCTCCGCTCCACCCCTGCTTGTGCTCTGTCTCTCTCTGTCTTTCAAAAATGAATAAACATTAAAAAAAATAAAAAATAAAAAGAAATGACCTTTCCCTGGGCAAATGCTGCCTCTTAGGGTGCACAGTGGTGCAGTGGATGCTGACCTTTGTCTGGGAAGGATTAGGCACCAATGGTGCCAAGAGGAGATGAAGGTGTGTGCCCTAGACCTGGTGGTAGCTGAGGAGTGGGGTTCTCCATATGGGCTGAGCGATGATCTAGGCTTAAGCGTTTGTCTTTGTGGAGGCCTTGTCCCGGTGTGCCCAGGTCTGGCGTGACCACAAAGTGTGGTCTGGGAAGAGAACGTCTTCTGGTCTTCTGGTGTGTGGAGGGGTGGCACGGGTGAGGGTTGTGTTCTAGGTTGACGCTGTCTCATAGCGGGCCACGTGGTTTGGTAAGACAATACAGGCTCCTCTGAGATGGGCTCTATGGTGGTGTGGTGGGGTATGGCCGTGTAACGGCGTGGTTCTTCACAGGGGCTCATTCCTTCTTTGATGAATAGATGTCTAGGTCCGCCTGTATGAATGCTCCCACTTTTCTAAGTGGTGGTATGGGAGTTTGATGGTCTAGTTTCAATTGCGCTTTTGATATTTATGATGATAGGTATAGGATCTTATCCAAGTGAGGGCTGTTGCCTGATGAGCTAAGCGCGAACATAGTTATCGATCTTGGTCAACAAGGACTTTCTGGTATGGTGTTCAACGGTGGTATATATTATCCCTTTTCTGTACAAGGCTTTTTCTCTTGGTTTGCTAAGAACAGATCTGCGATATGGACCCTTGTCCTGTTAGGGAAAGTCTCTTAGGGTGATGAGTGATGGAATAACTCTGGATTATTGTTCTGGGTGTGGAGCTCCTGATGGCTTAATGAATAACGGGATAAGTGTGTTCTCTGGTCTTGGCTTTGTACATTCTGTAGAATACAGAGATCTCGAGGAAGTACAGGTAAGTCTTGGTCTTTGTGCTAACCTTCCTGTGATGTGCTAAAGCAAGTATGTGTATAGACTTGCTAGTGAGCTATGGTTCTTGTTCTTCTCTGGGTTCAAATCTGTCCACTGGTGTGCTACACACTGATATGAGTATGGGTTCTGGTCTGGTACAGGACTATTTCATGGAAAATTTAATTTTTTTCAATTTTTTTTTAAATTCTAGTGAGTTAACATACAGTGCAATATTGGTTTCAGAAGTAGAATTCAGTGATTCCTCCCTTACATACAACACCCAGTGCTCATCATAAAAAGTGCCCTCCTGAAACCCATCACCCATCTAGCTCATCCCCCACACACCTTGTTCCATCAGCCCTCAGTTTGTTCTCTATCTTTAAGAGTCTCTTGTGGTCTTTTTCCCTCTTTTCTCTCCCCCCCATAGGTTCATCTGTTTTGTTTCTAAAATTCCACATGTGAGTGAAATCATATGGTATTTGTCTTTCTCTGACTGACTTATTTTGCTTAGCTCCATCCATGTCATTGCAAATGGCAAGATTTCATTCTTTTTGATGGCTGAGTAATATTCCATTGCCATATATAGGTGTGTGTGTGTGTGTGTGTGTGTGTGTGTGTGTGTGTGTGTGTATATATATATATATATATATATACCACATCTTCTTTATCTGTTCATCAGTCGATGGACATTTGGGTTCTTTCCATAGCTTGGTTATTGTTGATAATGCTGCTCTAAATATCAGAATGCATGTATCCCTTCAAATCTGTATTTTTGTATCCTTTGGGTAAATACCTAGTAGTACAATTGCTAGATTATTGGGTAGTTCTATTTTAAACATTATGAGGAACCTCAATACTGTTTTCAAAAGTGGCTGCACCAGTTTGCATTCCCACCAAGAGCACAAGAGTAACATCCCTCCTTCTCTGCATCCTCACTGACACCTGTTGTTAATTTTAGCCATTCTGACAGGTGTGAGGTGATATCTCATTGTGATTTTGATTTGTATTTCCCTGATGATGAGTGATGTTGAACATCTTTTCATGTGTCTGTCAGCCATCTGGATGTCTTCTTTGGAAAAATGTCTATTCATGTCTTCTGCCCATTTCTTAACTGGATTCTTTGTTTTTTAGGTGTTGTGTTTGGTAAGTTCTTTGTAGACTTCGGATACTACCCTTTATCAGATATATCATTTGCAATTATCTTCTCCCATTCTGTAGGCTACCTTTTAATTTTGTTGATTGGTCTATGGCCATACCACCCTGAATGCGCCTGATCTCGTCTAATTTTGTTGATTGTTTTCTTCCCAGTGCAGAAGCATTTTATCTCAATGAGGTCCCAATAGTTCATTTTTGCTTTTGTTTCCCTTGACGCCGGCGATGTGTCCAGAAAGAAGTTGCTCCAGCTGAGGCCCAAAAAGTTGCTGTCTGTGTTCTCCTCTAGGATTTTGGTGGTTTCTTGTCTCACATTTAGGTTTCTCATCCATTTTGAATTTATTTTTGCATATGGTGTAAGAAAGTGGTCCAGACTCATTCTGCACGTTCTGCGTGTTCCTGTCCAATTTTCCCAACACGATTTGTTGAAGAGACTGTCTTTTTTTCCATTGGAAATTCTTTCCTGCTTTGCCAAAGATCAGTTGACCATACAGTTGTGGGTCCATGTCTGGGTTTTCTCTTCTTATTCCACTGATCTCTATGTGTGTTTTTGTTCTTGTGCCATACTGTCTTGATGACTCCACCTTTGTAATATAGCTTAACACCTTGAATCGTGATATCTCTGGCTTTGCTTTTCGTTTTTAGGATTGCTTTGGCTATTCGGGGTCTTTTGTGGTTTCATACACATTTTAGGATTGTTTGTTCTAGCTCTGTGGAAAACGCTGATGATATTTTGGTAGGGATTGCCTTAAATGTGTAGACTGCTGGGGCGCCTGAGTGGTTCAGTCGGTTAAGCGTCTTGACTTCAACTCAGGTCATGACCTCACTGTGCGTGAGTTCAAGCCCCGCATCAGGCTCTGCACTCTCATTCCAGAGCCTGCTTTGGAGCTTCTGTCTTCCTCTCTCTCTGCCTCTCCCTCGCTCTCTCTCAAAAATAAATAAATAAACATTTAAATGTGCGGACTGGTTTGGGTACAGACATTTTAACAATGTTCGTTCTTGCAATCTCATGGAAAACTTTGAAGATGTGTGAGTAGCATCCCAGTTCTCAGATAAGAGCTATCTCCTGACTTGCTGAGGACTGTGTGGGAATGAGCAATGAGCACTGATCTGAGCAGGACTCTGTCAAGCTATGTTGGAGACTGGAATGGCTGTAGGCTCTCGGGAGATATGGCTGTCCCCACGTGTTTAGAGGTGAGATGTGTACATAGAGTGGCCAGTGTATGAGCTTTCACTTCGGCTTGATGAGTAGTGCTAGGGACACTACGTGGGCTGTCTGGCAATGTATTGACTAGTGGTGAGACATAGGGCGAGGCTGGTTCTAAAGAGTTTAAATGGTATTATATATGTGAACCTTGGTTTGAGTTTAGGTGAAGGTGGACCTTGCTTTTTAGCATTGGTGTAGCTATGGACCCAGCTCCAGGAAGGGGCCAAATTCTAATATGCTGAATGGTGGTGGGATATGGGTCCCTGTCTGGGTGGGTGCTACACATCCCATCAGCAGTATGACTGAGCTGCCCATTTCCATACCCTGAATTTCTGTTGGAACAGCCTAACTCACTCCTCCATACAGAAGGCTCATTTTTTTTTTTTTTTAGTTTTTTTAATGTTTCTTTCTTTTGTTTTTGAGACAGAGAGAGAGAAGGTCAGAGACAGAGACAGACCATGAGAAGGGGAGGGGCAGAGAGAGGGGGAGACACAGATTCTGAAGCAGGCTCCAGGTTCCAAGTGTCAGCACAGAGCCTGACGCGGGGCTCGAACTCACGAGCTGTGAGATCATGACCTGAGCCGAAGTCGGACGCTTCAACCGACTGAGCCACCCAGGCGCCCCAGAAGGCTCATTCCGAAGCAACACTGGTTTCTATACACAATACTTTACTCTGACCACATAGGTCACATTAATAGCTTCAATCTGCAGGCCAGGGAGCCCCCCAGACATCCATTCTACCCAGATACTGAGAAATCTGGATAACGAACAAGTAGTGAAGACCTTTGCTTTCACCATCATCATTAATTCTGCCTTTCTTCTTTAGTTTCTCTACCAGTCACCCCTCTGCCATCCCCAGTGGTAGTCTCAGAAACTCGGAGTACACTTTCTGTCCTGGTAATACCAGCTCTTGAGAGAGTACATTTCCCCTTTGTGCTAGGTTGAATAGTGTCTCCCAAATTCACGCCCCTTCACAACCTGTGCATGTGGCCTTATTTGGAAATAGGGTCTTTGCAGATGTCATCAAGTTTAGATAAAGCCATACTGGGTTAGGGCCAGCACTAAATCCAATATGACTGGTGTCTTTATAAGAAAAGGAAATTTGGGACACAGACACACAGAGATGCACAGAAAGGAGAATGCCATGTGAAGACAGATAGAAATTGGACTGATGTGTCTACAAGGCAAGGAACGCCAAGGATTGTCGGCAACCAATGAAAGCTAAGGAGAGGCAAGGAAGGAATCTTCCTTAGAGCCTTTGAAGGGAGCAAGGTCCTGCTGACGCCTCGATTTCAGACTTCCAGCCTCCAGAACTGTGACAACGTAAATGTCTGTTGTTTTAAGTGACCCAGGTTGGGGTAATTTGTTACAGCAGTCGCAGGAAACTAATACACCTTGTTCCTATTCCCTTCCTTTTTGTATAGATGCTGCTTACATGCTGAGGATTTCTTTTTATTTCCCTAGAATGCTCCTCTTTGGACAAGTGAGTATAATTTAGCCGATTGGATTTCATCAAACATCCATATTTGTCAAGCAACTGCGACTGTTAAAATACTACCAGTGGATGTTAGCAGTACCTATTGAAAATAGGACGAAGATATTTTTTTACAGTATAACAGGTGAATTTTAAAATTTCCTCCTGATTTAAAGCATAGCAACAGGGGCGCCTGGCTGGCTCAGTTGGTAGAGCATACAACTCATGATCTCAGGGTCGTGAGGTCAAGCCCCACGTTGGGTGTAGAGATTACTTGAAAATAAAATCTTTAAAAAATAAAATAAAGCCCAGCAACATCTTTTATTCCGAGAGACAAAGAACTTAAAACGTTACTGGGGAAATGCTTTGCATCAATCCTGCTTACTCAGTTTTTTCATTTTAGTAATTTTGTTAGTCCAGTGTTAATCCGTTTTTATAAATAAGTTCACTTCATATTTTAGAGATTTATTATGTTATTATTTAGAATTCAGTCTCTGTCCCTTACATATTGGGGTCCTAGGTACTATATTTGGCGGAGGGAAACCATAGCATTATTATTCCATTGTTTCCCCTTCTTTTTTAGTTATTCGCTATCCTGCACAACACTCTCCCTCTTTTTGCTTCATCCCATTACCAAACACTCCAGCAATGTGCCTTTTACTAAGTGTCCCCATTCATTTCTCCTCTTGCTAGTCCTTCTCCCATCCCAACGTCTCTATTCCCTCTTTCTACCTACTAAGGAAACCCTCTCAATCATACCGGCTAGTGGTTGCAGAGATAAAAATACAAAGTCGGGCTCTCTAGCCTCCGTAATGGGTCATAATAAATGGCCCTTAAAGTTCATCTCAGGAAAGGTATAATCTTTGGGTCTACGCCAACGCCCTGGCTAGCAAATGGCTTCCCAGGATCTATGCTTCACTTAAAAACCTACTGCTTCAGGTTATACCATGTGATGGAACCTCAGTTTATTCTTTGACCTTTAGTTGCTTGCTGGTCTGTCTCTGCTTAGATCCCAGCTCCTGTCTGTTCACTCCTCCATTGCCAAATGCTGCCTAGCTACACACCACCTACCCAGTTCCATACCATTTCCCCACTTATTGAACTTTGCCCAACCCTTGTCAGTTTCCTTGACTAGTTCTTTTTCCTTTCTTTTTTAAATGTTTATTTCTTTTTGAGAGAGAGCGGGAGAGAGGCAGAGACAGAGGGGGACAAGGGATCTGAAGCAGGCTCCGTGTTGACAGCAGAGATCCTGATGGGGGGCTCGAACTCACGAACCGTGGGATCATGACCTGAGCTGAAGTCGGATGCTTAACCAACTGAGCCACCCAGGTGCCCCTCCTTGACTATTTCTATGCCCAGCCAGGACTTTGACTTCTCCAAAGAGAGCTCTTTAAAACTCCAATGTAGCGGCATGTGTCTGGCTCAGTTGGAAGAGCATGGGACTCTTGATCTTGGGGTTGTGAGTTCGAGCCCCACGTTGGGTGTAGAGGTTACTAAAAAAAAAAAAAAAAAATACACTTTAAAAAAATAATAAAACTCCAATTCATCAAACTACACATTGTGCTAAATGCTTCACATCTGCTATCTTGCTTCATGCTTACAACCATATGAGATAAGAATTACCCCCCTCACCTTCAGCCCATGACCATGCATTCCATTGTACAGGAAACAGTGAGAACATCAACATGCATTTCCTCAATTTCCCTCTCCGCCACCTCAAAATCTCTCTGGATCCTCAAGTGCTTTACTTCTTTTACTCCCATCATGAAAACAGTCAAATAGGCAGAGACAGAAATAGAGGGGCATCTGAGAGATAAACATGTTAATCCATGTTCTCAAGGAGCACAGACCTTAATCAATTCCGTGAAGATCAACAAGAACTTTGAAAAGGAAGTATGAAGAGCCTGCCAAGAAGTTTCAGAAAGCTGTCTTCCAAAAGATGTTGACAGCAGAAGACCAGGAGCTCAATAAAGTTTGTGGGGCTAAGAGCATAGCATTTCTTGTGGGGCAGCATACTGACCTCTAAAAACACTCTTCTTTCTCACATGGGGTCTGCCAATGTGTAGTCTTGGACTCTTCAGCCTTTTCAAGGCGCCACTCACCTTCTGCTCCCTGTCTTTTCTACCTGCCAAGGTTATTCACTCATATGGCTTTGATTTTATCTCTGCAACCCCCATTTCTACTTGAATCCTCCCTGATGAGTTTTAAAATAATGACTCCAAATGTCCCAGTCTCCCACCATAACCGAGGGCCTCAGCCTGCCTTAGCTTTGAGGAAAGCTAATACCACCCTTCTTTACATTCTATCATTTTGGCCACTATCCGAGATGAAGCCTCCTCTGACCATCTATCCTCTCTCTTCCTTTTGTCTCCACACCGCTCTGTGCTTTCTCACCCACCCAAATTCCCACTGCACCTCTCCCTCCCAAACCTTTCTATTTGGCCCTAGACAATTCTCAAAGATAGGCAAACTCTTCTACGGAAACTCTCCCATTTTGTGACCTTAAATGAAACATGGTTCCCTCCTCAACGCACCACTTCCCCTGCATTTCCATATATCACAGGACCTAGAGAGAGGGTTGGCATTTTCCTACTATTTCATCACTACTTCCAGGCCATAACTCTTCCGACATTGCTTCCTTGAGGTTCATCCCATCTATTCGTTTTCTCTTCTTCATTGTGGTCATCTAACAACCTACTGGTTAGTCAGTCTCTCTCCCTCTCTTTCTCTCTGTCATTCGCCGAATGTTGCCACTCGATTCTCTAACAAATCGGCCATCGTCCCAGACATCTTCAGTGTTCCTATCAACAAGAATCCATCTTGGGCACCTAATGTCTGGGTAGAGGAGTCTAAGAAAGCAGCATTTGAACAGCCTCAGCTGAATGAAACTTGTAGTTTTCTGGTGGTTTCTCAATATGAAATGGCTGCATTTGAACAGAAACTCAGCCTTGTGAGGTCCACGATAGAATGTACGATGATTGCAGGTGAGTAGAGTTTCAATAGATTTGAAATATTCCCAGCAGCAGACTTGGTCTCCAAGTATCTGAGATGGGGAGACTTCTAGGAAAGAGCATTTAAGCCAGAGTTGCAACAGACTGAGTCTAGGCTTATCTGGCTTGGTGGCACTGTATTCACATCAATTCTATTACAAAGATACTGTCCTCTTAAAGTTTCATGATGTTGATAAGTAAAAAATATTATTTCAACAAATATTTCCTGAGAACCTACCATGTGGTAGGTACTGTCGCAGGAGCCGAGTAAAGAAAAAAATAATAATAATCCCTTACCCCATTGCTTAAATCAGTTCATAAAGATTTAACACAAATAATTCATATGTCAAGTTAAAATAATGATACTTCAGAGGGTTGTTGTGTGTTTTAAATGAGATGATTCATATCATGCTAATAGCTCAATAAATGGTGAGTAAATGGTAAAGGGGTGGGGCTACTAAGAACTCCTCTGCATCTCCCAAGTGTAACCACCAGGTGTCAGCCTCCCCTAGCTAAACCCTACTAGGCCAAGGGTGACCAGGTTGTCTAACCTCTCCAAACACCAGAGGAAGAAGCAAAGGACCTTGGTGAGACTATTCGCCCCTCCCTGAGTCCTGATCAGAGCTACTTAGGTGCAGACAACTCTTACTACCAGTATTAGGTGAGAACATGTGTGCCTACAGAGTGAACCCACGCTCTAGCATCCTGCCCGCTCCTTAGGCACCACAATTTGGAAATGACCAAGATCCAGTCAGGGAGAAGCAGATAAGGGACATTCAGGAGCAAAGCAAAGCAGATTCAGGAAAAGGGCAGGGAGAGAAGGAAGTAGGAGGTAGAAAGAAGACACTGAGAGAGAGAGAAAGGTAAAACTTTCTTAGTCACCTCTCCACCAGGGCCTCACCCAAAGCTTTGCAAAAGCCCTCCCATTTAAGCCACCAGCAACCTGAAACCCCCACCTCCCAGGCTCCTGCCACACGTCAAATCCCTTTTTAATCCTTGTAATCCCACTGATTCTCTAGCTGGCTTTCTCCTGGATATATTTCAGAGAGGGGTTTTAGAGTCCCTGGCAAAGAACTCCCCATTCTTTTTTAGCCCATGTAATTTCTACTTTGTATCTGAGCTGCCATATTTTCCAGACTCCTCATTAGAAGCTATATTTCCATTTTTTGAAAGATGCCTTTTTCCCCCCTTACAATAGCCCCTTTGACTGTGCCAACTAACCAAGCAGCATATTTTATTTCCCAAGCGCCTAGTATTTTTGATCATTGGCATACATTTTTTTTTTTCAGGTTTCCAATACGGTCTGTTTAAAATAGTCCACTGGCTTCCTGTGGGTTATTGACTTTTTGAATGTTAGTCTTAATTTTTCCTAATGTCTTGTAACATGCGGCACACCCAAACAGGAACGGGCCTTGTTCAGACACCATCCTGAAGTAGAACTATTGACTTGGTGTGCTGTCTCCGGACAGAAATCTAGCTGCAACTGTTATTTAGGCCCAACCACCAGTTAAGAGCTCTTTCCTTAACATAGAAAGAGAGCTTCACTCAGGAATTTCTAAAGAAAACCCAAAGAATTAATTGAGAAAATGGAGCCTACACTCTAGAAAGGACAAAATAATAAAAATAAAAAGTAGAGCATACTGCAATTAACATAGAAGCCAAACTCGTGAACTACCACTAATCCCTTCTCTCCCTTAGCAGAGCCTGGCGGAGGGAAGTGAATCGATTTCTAGGACAACATAAGGGTTCTAGGAACTAATCTAATATAGCCAGTTACCTAAAAGATCTGAACTTAGACTTCCTCCAAATCATGATCGATCCAGGTCAATGCCACATCACGCGAGAGAGGCCTGAGTCTTTGCATTCACCCAAGGCCACGGCTGCTACTGTTTCTATCCATTGTCAACAGAGAAATAGCCTTATCATGGAAATGGCTCTTCCATGGTGACATTACACATTTCCACACAGGCAAAGGCTTGAACTATCTCTGAGTTTTGGCAGAATGCCTTGTGATCCTCCTGAAACACAAGAGCACTGGAGTTCCGTAAGGAACTACTATGAGGTCATCTCCCACTCATCTCCCTATCTTCCCTGGGAGGCTGTCATGAGACCGTTTCTCATCACCTCCCCGGTTCTGACAGCATAGGAAGCTTTCTGTCCTGTGTCTTCAGAATAGAGCTGCAGACTATAAAACCCCTCAGTGGCAGCCCAGAATGGGCTCCTTAGCAATGTTGAAACACTGTTGTTTCGGGGTTGTCCTTTTTAGTGTGTGGAACAAGGATCTTGGGGAGCAGGCACCTTAGGCTTTTTCTTCTTTTTGCTCTCTGCTTAAGTAATAAAATGTCTAAGTCTAGAAGTCGCTCACTGTTTCTTTCCCAGCCAAATCACTAGGCCTTGGCCTTGACTTGTCTCACGTGTAAGCATGACAAGCCTTGAGCCACTCCACACAACCAAGCTGTGATTGCATCCGAAGCATGATGGGTTGAGGCTACAGCTGATTCCATTGACAAGGTCTCCATCCTTCTACCTAGTGGAAGCTGTTGCCGTTTCTGACACTAAGTGAGGGGCCTAGAAACCGATTGGTTCCCCTTCTTTTTAAATGTTGCAAATGCAAACGTAAGGACATCCCACAAAGCAATTTACCTAGTCTCTTCAAAAAAGTCCATGTCCGGGGGGCGCCTGGG